TGGGCGCAAGCCACATGAAACATAATGCATTAAAAAGTTGTCAGTGGCTGCTGCGAAGGACCACTGCGCTCCCCCTGCCTAGCCATCACCATGTGGTACTGCCTTCTTAAAAAGGCTCCCTCTGTGCCTGGCACCAACTGAGTGCCTCTTTATAAATATTTGGAATAAATGAATAAACTGTTGAAAATCCCCAGAAGGGGAAGGAAACATTTCTGCGAGCAACGTGGGGCAAGCATGAGTCATCAGGTAAAACTTCTCAGAGACTTGCACGTCTACAAACGGTCAGTAAATATCTAAATCAGGAAATCTCCTCAGAAAAATGGTAAGCAATTTATTTTATCAATAGATAGCAAAGAACTGATGTACAGAAAAGAAAATCTTGCAAAATATCAACCAGTTTATCAAAAAGTTAAAGCACAATAAAATGTGGAGGTCATGGACTCCAGCGAAAACCCTCCCATGAAACACAATAAAAGCACAAACGTTAATTCTAATATTTACACATGCAAAAAGGACCTGTAAGAAAGAAAAATAAAAGAAATGTAAAATAAAATGAGACTAAGTAACCTGAACAATGGGAAAGTAAATCAACACCAATATAAAATAAGTATACCTCCTCGTCTGCTGCTTTCTGTGGCCCAAAGCTTTATGAAATACAGCGCTTGCTTGGCTAGGATTTAGAAAAACATGGTGTGCCTAAACTATTATTTTTTTCAAATACAGATATGCCTAGAAAAATACTCTATAAATTCAGCAGTTCTGGGAATACGTGGACCAAGAAAAAAGAAAATTGTGCTAAGAGGAATCATCTTGCCAAGCAGAGAGCGAGTGCAGGGCTTGCCAATTGTGTAATGCGTGATTGAAGGCAACAGCACTTGCATATATTTTTGGGAGCACCAGATCATAAACGAGTGGCAACTTGGAGGAACTCCCAGAAAACAAGAGGTGATTGCATGAATAAATTGCAGGGCATTTTAGTGGTGCAAAAGGTGACATCTGAGGAAGAACCAGCTGAAGGTTGCAACGAGATGTGGCTGCTGCTTGTGAGTCTTTGGTAAGAAGCAGCAGAGCTTGGGATGGGCTGCACACCCAGAGTTGCACATCTGGAGTCGTCATGTCCATGGTGCCAGAGCTGCAGCAGCAGCCCTTGCTCACTACGGGGCAAATCCACCATGGCTTCGGTGAGCCATCACCTAGGAAAGCTCCAGCAAAAGTGGGACCGGATGAAACTGCTGGTGCTGCCGGGTGCCGTCCCCTGCCTGAGCAGCATCTACATGACCGCTCCCTGCCCTGCCTCCACCAACACAATGCAGGTTGGATTAAATATCCAGCCTTTGATCGAAACAAAGCCTGCCCCAGCCCGGCAGTACGAAGCAGTCCCACTTGCGAGTGGTTTTTGCTTGTTAGTAAAACAGGAAGGATGGAGATTGGGCAGACCACAGGCAGGTATATCTGCAGGGGGGCAGGTATGAAGGGGAGTTTTCTGAGGTTAAGGATATTGGAGCATGGCACGCTTTGTGTCCCAGCTCCTTCCCTGGCTCCTCCAGCTCCCTCCAGCTCCTTCAAGGACTGGGCAGGGAAACCTCTCCCAGGTGGAACTCAGGCAGGGGCCCGCCTTCAGCCCTTCCTCCCACTGCTTCCTTGCCTCCCTCGCTTTCCTCCTCCAGCTGTGCTGGGCTGCTCATGTCCCTGCTATAAATCTACAAACTGCCCGGCAGGCTCGACTGGCAGCTCAGAGCACACTGCCACATGGCTGCTCTCTTGAGGAAAGGAGGAAGAGGAGGAGGTGATGGTCCTGGTATCACACTGCTGGCATGACTCAGCACGCAGGCACGGGAGCTTGGCGCCACGGTGGGCAGCAATGGTCTTCAGAACAGGATGTGGCCCCTATGGCCAACAGGGCTGTGCTGGGATGTCTACTTGAACAGACCCACGCAGGAGGCCAGCATCCACGTGTGGCCACAGCCACAGCGGGAGCTCCTGGCCATGCGTTCGGGCCGAGTCTGGTTTACATCTGGGCTTTGGGGAAGGAATGTGAAATCTCTCCTGAAGCACGTAAGCAGCAGCTTTCATTTGCCACCACCACAGAGATATTTAGCAGGACCAGTGATAGCTAGTAACGCTCATGAGTCCAAACAAAAAGCCACAGGTGTTTCTGTCCTTCACTCAAGGAAGCAAAGCAGAGCGGCATCGGAGGCCTCTTCTCCTCCACCAAGTTCAGCCAAGAGTGGCCAATAGGTTGAAAACTCCATAGCGAGGGACAGACAGATGGACACACACATAAACCATCCCAGTAGGAAGGCACGGTCCTGCTCAAGGGGGAAAAAACTGTTCTCTGTGCCCCAGTAGCAGCTGGGCATTACAGCAGTCTGGGGAAGCACAGCATCCTCTTTCCCTGCCCATATCAAACCTCATGAAGCAGAAACAATTTTGCTGCCCAGTGACACTCCTGTGCCCCTACCAAGGACCGGGCAGAGTGCGGTCTCCAAAACACTAAGCTTTATTTTTTCCAGTTTTGCACAGTAGTTTACAAACATCCACCAAGAAGAAAATCAGGATCATTAGATATTCAGGGGAGGGAGGATTAGGAAGAGAGAGAAGCGGCCACCCATTAAAATGTGCCCCTTTTTAACTCCTCACCTCTACTAGGAAAGTATCCAATTATTTCTTAAATGACACTGATATTTTTTGCCTCAGCCTCCTTGCCTGGTTAGCCATTTCACATATTTATTATTCTTTGCATGAAATAATACTTCCTGACATCTGTTCCCAGTTTGTTTCTATTTAATTTCCATTTATAGCACATTTTCCTATCCTCTTACCATGTTAAAATAAAACAATAAGTATGTTTGACATGGTGCAAGTTACTTAAGATCATGATCCTTCCCTGACCTTGATTTTATTTTTTTTTAAACATGCTCTAAAACACCGAAAAACATTTTAATGAACTTTGATGAAAAACCAAGTGGAAAGCTCAAAGAGTCGGCAACCACTCAGCATTTCACACCCGCACCGTCAGCTGGTTACCCGAGGACCGGGTGGTTGCAGTGTGGTTGGTGGTTACAGTCCAGTCCCACTCTGACAAGTATCAGCTGGAGGCAGATGGGGAAAGCAAGGAGCTGTGGGCTGCGCAGTCCCTCCATGAGACAGAGGGGAGAACCAGGTGGCTGCAAGAGATGAGGTGGCAGTGGGACAGGCACAGGAAAGGAAATGTTAATTCCGAATGCAGTGATTCAAATTGGCTTGGGTGATGCTTTCCCTTCTGACCAGGCAGATTGGAAAACGTGCCCTTCCCTTGCTCTGAAGAGAGAGTTTGCTTCCAAGTACAATCTGGCAAATCCACAAGCAATAAATTCACAAGGAGAAGCAATGAGAAGTACTTTAGTTATAGCACAAGAACATTTTATGTTGTCATCTCTATCTTGGTACAAGCCCTCAATATAATTTTAGCTCAGGAGGAGGTTGCTTATGAAGCTAAAATAAAATGGAAAGAATCAATGTAGCCTCCAACCAAATGTGTGTGCACGCCTTCCTGTTAAGTAACAAAGCAAAACAGCGAGCCTGTGTCATCTCCAGCTGGTCCATCACCATTTTACAGACTATCAGGCAGTTCTCTGGTAGGGACCACCATGCCCCATACAAGCATTAGCCCGCTCAGAACAGCCCCTCCATGTCCTCCTGCACTGATAAACCAGTAAGTGTGGTTATACAGCCTGTTCTGACAAGGCCGACAAGGTTGCACCCCTGAACAGAAACATCTGAAACTGAAAACATTTCTGCTCAGTCCTCTTTAGCCAGAAGGATAGCGGTTGCTCTGCAGTTTGGCATTATGGCAGAGAGATGTGGGTGCCTGCGACAGCCAAGAGCCACAGCAACCTGGGCAGTTCAGATCGTGGTGCCCTGTATGCACCTTATCAGCCTTTGGAAGCTTTCTTCACACAACTATTTTATCGATAGGGCTTTAACCTGCCAGGTTGCCAAGGGCATTTTCCTTTTACCCGAATTCCAAGCTGAACAGGCACACACTAGAAACCCTGGGTTTAACCTGGGGCTTTTTTGAGGTCAAGACAAACATCATAACAAACGGGGCTAAGAGCAGCCAAGTTAAACTATGCCCTGACAAAGCACCGTCCTCTCAAACACACCATGCAGCTCGGTGCCAGGGCTGCACCATCACAGCTTGAGAGCCAGAAGGCTGTTGAGGGTGGACAGTCTTGGGGGAAGCAGGTCAGAAGTGGCTTTGAAGGCTTGCCAGCAGGTTGCTGGATCAGGCACATGCAGGAGGGCTGCTCCTTTTGGGAAACCAGCATGTCCCACTGCACAAGAGATGCTCCCCTGATTGTCCCCTGGCTCCCCATGGCGTCGGGTAGGTGTGACTGAACGGTCCAGCAAGGTTGGCCACCTCACACCCTTGGGAACCATTTAATCCGCAGCAGCATAGAGGCTCACAATTACAGAAATGTATGTTTGTGCCTCTGCTCCCTGAACTTGCTGCACTTCATTTACTCTCCTGGGCTTTAAGCTCTAAGCAGGCAGAGTTCATGCGGGTGGATTTGTACTACATAGCCCATGGTTTGGAAGGATAAACATGAGTCCCCCCTAGTCTGCCTGTTCCTTCTGCTCATTTCTCCCCTGCCACAACTGGCCAATTTACCTTTGCTGTTCATCCAGCCCAGTATTTACAGCATCTGGAAGACTCAGAAACTGATTGAGGGAAAAAAGAGAAAAGCTACACTAATCTCGAAAGCCTGATTATGCACAGCTTTATGCGACCACCACCGCCGCCGCCTTGGAGAACAGGCCTGGAGGATGGGTCGGAGAAAGCTTCACAGTGTAACTTAGCCCATACTTGGTTGTGAATGTGTTGTACAGTTATAACTGGGATTTAACAATCATTACCTATTTTATGTGTAGAAACAGGAATTATGACAAAGTACTGAGGGTCATTTGTTTTCTGCGTTGCAATCTCTTTATTTGGTTAAGTGGTCTGAGTCAACAAAGTCATACTCTCCTCTATTTCCGAGAGTTTCTTCAGCATCTGGCTCACCTTGGCCTCATCAAACTCCAGACAGAGAAACTCCGATTCCTACAAAACAAAATTGCAAGAACAATAGTTGAGAAAGATAATGTTTTTTCAGGCATACAATAGAGGCAGGATAGCAAGTTCTGGTTTCCTGATGATTTGTGTCCCGTGCTTCCTTTTTTCCTGGTACCATTTAACCTTAGTAGACCCACAGGTTGGCTACCCACCTACCGAGTGAGAGCAGTACGTGCCGGCAGGCCAGCCAGTGGGGGCCAAAGAGGAAGGCTGAGCTCTGCCCACCTTTCCTTTCAATGTAGGCATCAGTTTAGGTCTCTCCTTAGCTGCAGACTTTTGCAAAACTTGTACAAATTTAATTATAGCTGAGACTTCCACTTTTCTTTCCAATCTGGTGATCCCCAAAGCTGTCGCTGCAGACTCTGGGAACTGCAAAGCAGTTGGAGCCACTGCACAAAGCTCATCACATACGAGAAACAGATTTTATACAGGGGAAAACAAGAATCCAGAACACAGTCTTGTACAGGACATTCCATACTGGAAATTCAGGGGAGTTTTATATTCTCATACACACGGGCTCTAGTGTCAATATAAACTTAGAAGCAACTTAAGAAGCAGCACTGATGTGCTCTGAAAAGTCCTGTCACATCTTAAAAAGTAGTTATTCTCTGACAAGATGGATATTGGGATATAGTAAAAGGATCTTGTCAAAGGCCCAGAAAATAAAGAATATATATATATAAAAAAAGAATATATATATGTATATATAAATATATATACCGAAAAAGTTCAGATGATATGGAACTCATTAATAACCACCAATATGAAAAGGCCTCCTGAGATCTCCAGTTCATTAGCCTTACCTACTGGTATGCCTGTAGTTACAAAGTATTTCCTGTAGTGAGTCTGGCAGAAGAAATGTTTGAGATTGCCAGGAGTGTGACTGTGTACTAAAGGTCATTCCAGGTGAAGCACTGTCAGTGATAGAGAAACAAATTGAAAATATTTGAAGATGAAAGTGCAGCCAGTATGAAGGGAGGTTTCCTTATGAGACATTGGAATAGTTTTAGCAATGAGAATCACTGTATATCCACTGAACTTCTATATATAACACAGACCCTGTGGTGCTTATAAAAGCAGAAGGCGATCTCCAGGTCTCATCTGTTTTCTACCAGACTAAAATTTCTATCATTATTTCAAAATGTGTTTTTTCCATACAATTAGCATCTACCCAAAACACCGCAACTTCAGCCTTTACATTTATGGAATTAATAGTTAATACACAAGGATAAAATCATCAGACAAATTAAACCCATCAACTTTTACTAACCACATTTTAGGACTGTTACAAGTGTTTTCCCCCAGGCATCAGGAATAGTTGTACCTTTTACCCTCTCTTGTTCTCCCAAGGATTCATGGATTGTTTCATTTTTTGTAAGAACCAAACCAGCAAGTGAGATATGAACCAAAATGTTGACAGAAGCAGCAAGGGGATCATTTTGTGTGCAGTTATCACAAAAGGCACTGCCAGAGGAATGCTAACAGAAAAGAAATGAGGTGCCAGAAGTCAGTGATCAGGAAGCCGAGCATGTGGAAGTGCATGAAAAAGTTGTGCCAGGGCTTCTGCCCGGACATCAGTCACACAGGGAACTACCACAGTTCAAGGCAGAAATCAAAATGGTGATTTTTGATCGTGGCAGTCCGGTGAAGTTCCCACTGACTGGAAAAAGGGAACCATAACCCCCATTTTTAAAAAGGGAAAAAAGGAAGACCCGGGGAACTACAGGCCAGTCAGTCTCACCTCTGTGCCCGGCAAGATCATGGAACAGATCCTCCTGGAAGCTATGCTAAGGCACATGGAGGACA